AGAGAGATCGGAAATACTTGAATTAATGTTGGAAAATGAGTTTGGGGTATAGCGAGATGTATGTTTCTCTAGTAGAGCTACTATATATCCCTAATAGGTTTATAGCACTGTGAACTCTAATAATACTCGCTGGTCGCACTATCTATTTGTCGTATGAATTTTTGTAAGATAGATATTGAGAAAGACTTAACGTATGACATTCGTTATCCCTTGTGGTTCGAATCAAACCCATCATGTGCGAGTGAGATATGTTAGAAAATACGGATCATGGGTCGCTCATGGGGGATGACCTGACCCACAAGTTATTAAAAGGGTTGGAGGGAATGGTTTGAATTTGAAGTTCAAATATATAACTTCCTACAACCACCATCAACTCCCATACAATTTCCATTCATTTATGAATTGGAAAATCGAGGGAAGAAGAGGACATGAAATATGGAGTGAAAATTCGTATGGAATTTTATACCTAAATTGGAAAGTCCTTAAAACCATATTTTTTACATGAAATCTTACAAATTTTGACACTTATATTGTGGATAATAATCCCTTTTCATTGTGACCGGGATTGAGATCATTAGAGAATGCTGCGTACGTATTCTTACACCACAATAAACTGAAAATAAGACTATCCTGAAAGGAAAAAACAAGCACCATGTCTACTTATCATTCATTATAAAAACATGAGAAATACATTAGCACTGATTACCATATTATATTTTATTTCACTTTTACAGTTAAGGACAAAACATTACAGAGAAATGGGATTTACAATTGGTTAGATTTGGATTTATTGTTAATTATCTGATGAGATTCTTTTGCCAACCGAGATATTTGCGGCCATGCAGATATTTTAGACCAGATCTTGGACAACTATACCGGGTCAATGAGATCAAATCAATAGAATTTTCCTACACACATTTAATTATAATTAATTAATCAATTAATTATATTGACCTCATTTCTTGTAGGGACGAGATAACAAACAAATCCTGAGTCATCTCTCATCCACGTAAGCCTTTGTCCTGAACACTTGAACAAATCTTGAGTTGCACGTGACCTTATCAAGAGTTAGGGAAGGTATCCGCTCACACTCCGACGATAAAGTTAACCTTTGTAAAAATAAGCATTTGAGTGTGAGACGTACTTAAGACGTGAGCCACTTAAGTAAAAGAGATTAAGATATGGGAAATATAGAAAGCAA